CGCAGCTGTTTGTTTCCACTGCAGCTTGTTTTCCATCTGCCGCGTCGCATGTTCTCGCGTTGCGCCTGATGGCGTCAATTTGAGCTTACGTCGGATTCCGCGTGTGAATCGGAAGCAGTTTGGGGTCATCAGGGATGGTGAGGCATAAAGACGTCAAGGGACAGTTCTGTCGTACATTCCTGATGTTTGTCGGTGCTGCTCGTTTTTTTGTGCGCTGCAGTTTGTCGCGCCTCAGTTAACTTGCATGTCCTTCTACAAGTCCTGGTTTCACCTTGAGATATGTTGCTTTGGTGGCGCATGCACGGCGGGAGTGGTTTTGGGAACATTCGGGAGGTGGTGGTGTCGAAAGCGCCAGCGACCATGGGAGCAAGCCAACACGAGATGGGCCGCAGGTATCCACAGAGTAGAGTGAAGGTGGAGGAACATGAGACGAAACAGTGGCAAGTGATGCAGGCTTGGAGAGCGGATCGCGAGCAGAAGCTCCACCCTCAAAAACAACGTCGAGGGGAGGAGCTGGAGGAGGAGGAGGAATCTCGAAGAGGAGGAGGAGGAGGAGGAGGAGGAGGAGGAGGAGGAGGAGGAGGAGGAGGAGGAGGAGGGAGGAGGAGGAGAAGGAGAGGAGGCGGAGTATGAGGAGGAGGAGGATGAGGAGGAGGAGGAGGAGGAGGAGGAGGAGGAGGGGGACGAACGAACGTGAAAGAGACCGAGGACGAAAAGAAGGCGATCATCACGACGGCGAGGGCCAGCCGCGCGAGCAGCAGCAGCAGCAAGAGCGTCACCACCGAAAGAGCACGAGACGCGGGAGGAGGATGAGGAGGAGTTGGAGGAGGAGGCCGACGGCTTCGACCCATTCCCTGGGACCAGCTGGTTTTGTTTTATCCCGAGTCGTCTTCTGACGCTCCCAGGGCCCAGGGAGGGCCCCCACAGGCCGAAGATGGTGAAGAACCTCCCAGCGTGATTTTCGCACGAGTCGAGGGGGTCCTGTAAGGGGGAGGAGTCGGTAACGACGACGAAGAGGCGCGCGTGCATGTCGGCACTGCGCCACGGCTTCATCGTCCTGCATCGAGAGGCGCAGGAGCAGGAGGAGGAGGAGGAGGAGGAGGAGGAGGAGGAGGAGGAGGAGGGCGGGGCGCGTGGAGGAGGAGGAGGAGCATTACAGCGGGGGGGGTGAAGAAGGAGGAGGGGGGAGGAGGAGGAGTGAGGAGGAGGAGCAGCAGGAGGAGGACGAGGAGGAGGAGCAGCAGGAGGAGGACGAGGAGGAGGAGGAGGAGGAGGAGGAGGGGAGGAGGAGGAGGAGGAGGAGGAGGAGGAGAAGGAGCATCATTCGACGACGGCGACAGCGTAGGCGCGCCACTCCTCCGCTGCGGGGGCCTCTCTCCCTCTCTGTGGGCCTGCGCCCGGCACTCCCTCGCAGGCCTGGGTGCGGCAAGGGGGCCAAAATAGAGAGAGAGAGAGAGAGTCGCTGCATGTCAGGATCCTCATGGCAAGACATTGCCCCTCCTCCCTGCACCTCTCGAGAACAATTCTGGGCTTGAGCTGGCTGCGTCCGATTTCAACCGGCCGAGTCCGGCTTGACCCGTGGAGCTCCTCCATCTGCCAATTAGCCGCAACCGTGCCCACAACCAGCCCCCTGGAATTGCCACTGAACCCAGTGTGGCTAGCCCAGACCTCTAACGTCACCAGGAGGAGGAGGAGGAAGAGGAGGAGGAGGAGGAGAAGGAGGAGGAGGAGGAGGAGGAGGGAAAGGAGGGCAAGGAGGAGGAGGAGGAGGAGGAGGAGGAGGAGGGAGAAAGAGGAGGAGGAAGAGGAGGAAGAGGAGGAGGAGAGGAGGAGGAGGAGGAGGAGAGGAGGAGGAGGAGGAGGAGGAGGAGGAGGAGGAGGAGGAGAGGAGGAGGAGGAGGAGGAGGAGGAGGAGGAGGAGGAGGAGGAGGTCGGACGGAATCGAGCCCGCGAACGGCCTGCAAGGGGCCGAAGTCTCGGACATCTGCCGTGAAATTGTGACTAGGAGGAGAGGAGGAGGAGGAGGAGGAGGAGGAGGAGGAGGAGGTGAGGGAGGAGGAGGAGGGAGGAAGGAGGAGGAGGAGGGGAGGAGAGGAGGAGGGAGGGAGGAGGAGGAGGGAGGGAGGAGGGAGGGAGGGAGGGAGGGAGGGAGGGAGGGAGGAGGAGGAGGAGGAGGAGAGAGGAGGAGGGGAGGAGGAGGAGGAGGAGGAGGAGGAGGAGGAGGAGGTGAGGGAGGAGGAGGGAGGGAGGAAGGAGGAGGAGGAGGAGGAGGAGGAGGAGGTGAGGAGGAGAGGGAGGGAGGGAGGAGGGAGGGAGGGCGGGAGGGAGGGAGGGAGGGAGGAGGAGGGAGGAGGAGGAGGAGGAAGAGGAGGAGGAGGAGGAGGAGGAGGAGGAGGAGGAGGAGAGGAGGAGGAGGAGGAGGAGGAGGAGGAGGAGGAGGAGGAGGAGGAGGAGGAGGAGGAGGAGGAGAGAGGTGTCCCGGCACCCGAGTTGGAGCGAAGACGCCCAGGGTGCTGCAGTTGCAGAGCTCCCAGATCTCGGGGCTGCGGGGTGGGCCTCTGCAGGCCTCAGGAGAGCCCCCCTTTGTGCCCCGCGGGTCGGCTCGGCGGCCGAGGGCCACGTCGAGGAGATCGAGGAGATCACCGGCAAGGCGGAGGAGGACCCCTGCAGGATCGGGCGGGCGGCAACGGTCAGAGGAGGAGAAGGTGCCGTGACCGCTGCCCTGCGGTCGTCTTCCCCTGTGTGGGGCCCTCCTGGGAGGCCCCCGTCGCCACCGCTGGGTTCCCCTCGGAATCCTGGTCAGAACGCACGCCGGGAGAGGTCCAGGGAGTGGCGCTGTCGGTACAGTGCCGTTTTTTATACATGCTCCGCGTGCGGATCATGTATTAGAAATGCAGGGGTTGAGTTTAAAACAACGATGAGTTCATGCATAAACTTATTCATAAATTAGTCATGTATTAAAATCCCATACAAAAACCCAATGTATTAAAAACTGCCCTGTACCTTTTGGTTTCCCCAAATGGGGAGTGACCTAAACGGGAGATAGCGAAAAAAACACGAAAGGGGCCCTTTGGGTCCCCTCTTGGGCACCTGCTGGCTCTCCAAAAGGGGCCCACACGGCCTCTTCCGGGGCCTCTTCTTCACCCCGAAGTTGGGTCCCTCCATTTTTTCTCAAGGGGGAAAAACCACCCAGGCCCGATCATTGGCGTTTACTGTACGGCCCTGCCCGTTTACGAAACAGCCTTTCCCTGTTCGATTCCCTCTGTGGGTGCGTGTACTCAACGGCTTCGCGATTCGGGGTGATTCTGATGGGGGTGGATGTTCTACCCTCTACTGTTCTTTACCACCCGCCCGAGTAGGAACCGCAAGGGCCAGGCGGGGCGCCGGCTGAAGTCCAAGACGAGGGCGCACGAGGTCGAGGACCCAACGGGCCCTGGTGTACGCCGTCCGCTGTCGCTGCCGTCGCCGACGTCGCCGTTGGCCGTTGGCGTCGCTGCCTCCGTCGCGGTCTTCGTCGCCGTCGCCGCTTCCGTGCGGGTCTCCGTCGTCGTGGTCGTCGTGGCAGTCTGCGTCCTGGCCGCCGCTCCCGCCGTCGCGGTCTTCGTCGCCGTGCTCGTGGTCTTCGTCGTGGGGAGGGGTTCCAGGGCAAATTTCGCAAGAGCTCACGCACCAGGAAGCGGGTAACATACGCATGAGTCGGCTGGCCTGGGCGAGGGCTGGATGCGGGGGAACGTGAACTCTGTGTTTAGAGTGCGTATCCTCTTGAGGCCTCCGGAGGGCTCAGCAGAACCCTGGGGGGGCCTCTGCGGACTCGCCTCCGGAGACCTCCGCAGAACTCCGGAGGGCCCCCCAGACACACACGCGGGTTGCTGCATGTCTCTGCAACCCTCAGCCCGCGTGCGGCAGGGCGCGATATCTCTCCACATTACCTTGCCGCCACATGGCACACGTGTGGCACAGATGTATACACGGCGCCTGCTTCCACGGCAGGGTTCGGGCAGGCATTGCAGCGCATGGCCCAAACCCCGAAAACCTTTGGCTGATCTCACTGCCCCCGCCCTTCTAGAGCGCGCGTGTGGGAACCTGTGCGAATACCGGCCAAAGGCTGGTTTGCGCACGCGCGAGATCTTCATTATTTTTCCCTCTCGTTATGTTTTCCTCCTCCTCCTCCTCCTCCTCCTCCTCTGGCTCCTCCTCAGCTCGTGTGGGGCAATTGTGCGCGTAGCCCAGGCTACGCTCTGGCTGGTCTGTGCAGTCGCGAGCTCTGGTGTTTTCTTCCTCCCTTGTTTTCCTCGTTGTTCCTCCTACTCCTGCTCCACCGTCCCACCTTTCTCCTGCCGTGGTGAGTGTATTGCCTGGGCTGTTCGAGCCGTTCAATACGGGACTGTCGCACTACAGTTCGGCAGTCCAGTGGGCGATGCGTTTAGGGCTAACTCGTATTCTTCGCCAGCTGGCTTCTCCTCTTCGTCTCCCTCCCTCTGCTCGGTACGGCGCGCCCGGGCAATGTTTGTCATGATTAGCTCTTGGTGTCTTCTTGTTTCTGTTCCACTTGTCTCTCCCATGCCATGATTCTCTACACGGGTTTGCCTACTGCAGGTCGGCTTGTGTGGCATTTTGGGTTTGACTGGCGGCTGACCGACTCGCACTGTGTATGTGTTAGCCAGTGTAGACCCCAAACAGTTTGCTTCTAGTAATACGTGTGTTGCGATGTATGTTGGGTCATCTATGTTGTGCAGTACGTGTGGAGCAACCTCCACGGCGCAATCGACATGGTGCAGATTGCAATTTGCAAATTATGTTTGGGAACCTATGATGTCCAACATAAGTTTTGCAATCTGTGTGGTGCAGCCCATGTGTTGCAATAGCTGTGATGACACCCACGTAGAGCAATATAGGTTCTGCAAGCAATATATGTATTGCAATACATGTGGTGCACATCATATGGCGCAATCTCAGCGGAGCACTCGATGTGAAGCAATACATATAAAGATAGTAGCTGTTGCCATCTATGTTAGTCAATAGACACTGTTCCACCTATGTTGAGCAATTCATGTGGTGCAATTTGTGTGGTGCAATCTGTGCGGAACAATCTACGTTGTGCACAGTATGGCGCGCAACATTGTGAAGCAATGTATGTGGTGCAATTTGTTGGGTGCAATCCATCATGACCCATGTGTGTGGTGCAGCCAGTGTTGTGCATATATGTGTTGATATACATATGTATAGCTATATGTATATGTATGTTGTGCTTTCTATGTTGTGCAACCTGTTGTGCACTCTATGTTGGGCAACCTGTTGTTCACTCTATGTTGCGCAACACATGTTGGTAATATGCATTGTTTCTTGTTGTGCAACCTATGTTGGGCAATTTTTGCTGTGCAATCTAGATTGTGCAACCTACGTTGTGCAACCTATGCGGTGCAATCGATCGGCGGAGGCGACGAGCGGCGACGGGGCGGCGACAGCGCGACGACAGCGACAACATTGCCGCCAGATCGACAGACAGGCCCAGACGACGGGCGGTGACAGGGCGGCGACGGCGGCAACATCGCCGCCAGAGCGGCCCATCGGCCCAGACGACGGGCGGCGACGGGGAAGCGACGGCGGCTACAAAGCGACGGCGGGACGGCGACGGCGACATTTTTTTTATTACCTGCGCGAGAGGTCGCCCCGCGGCTTAGGGAAAGGCGAGGGAAAGCAGCAGAGGGGGAAAAGCAAGAGGAGAAGCAGCAGCAGCAGCACCAGCAGCAGCAGCAGCAGCAGCAGCAGCAGCAGCAGCAGCAGTAGGCAGTGCAAGCCGCGGTCGGCGGCCGCCCCCCGGCGCTCCGACCATGCGGGGCGCGTGCCTGGGCCCGGCGGCGGTTCCGCTGGGAGCCGCCCAAGGCCGCGGTCGCTATACCAGCAGCGCCGCGGGGCCCGAGGGTGGCCGGAAGTGTGCGCCGCCGCCTCCGAGCCGCGCCGCCGCCCCCCCGCGCCGCCGGGAAGGCGCGCCAGGCCGCGGCCCTATAGGCCGCCTCCTGGAGGCCGGCCAGGCCGGCCCGCTCCCAGAGGGCCGCGCCATGCCTCGCGGGCCCCGCCGGCGGCAGGTGCCCCGTCGCCGCCGGCGGCGCCACTGCCCGCCCGCTGTACGGGCGCAGCAGCGGCTCCCACGGCCTCGCTGCCAGCTCCGCCGCTCCGCCCGGCAGCAGGAGAGCCGCTGCTGCGGGTCACGCCGCCTGCGCGGCGGCGCCCGCGCTGGCGTCGGCGCTCCGCCGTGCTCCAGCCGCCGGAGTCCCCAGCGCTGCTGTCGGCCTTGCCGCGCGCGTGCGGCTCGCCGACGCCGCCGTCTCGGTCGACGGCGTCGGCGGGGCCGCGGTGCAGTGCGTCGGCGGGCGTGGCCACCGCCGACCAAACAACACCCGCCGCCTCCACCTCCACCGGGCCTGGCCTGGGAGGCACCTCCACCGGTCTCGCGCAGGGAGGCAGCGCCGCTGCATGCACCTGTGGCCCGGGAGGCACCTCCACTGGCCCCGTGCCGGGAGGCGAAGCGACTTCGACCTCCACCGGGAGCGACCGGGGCGACCCCTCCACAGAACGACACACATGTCCAGACGACGGGCGGCGACGAGGCGGCGACGGGGCGGCGATGGCGGCTACATCGCCCCCAGATCGATCTACCAGCCCAGTTCCTTGGGGAGTGTAGGACCCTCAAGTGCAAGCATTGTTTGGCGAATATGTTGAGTGGACCGGCACCGATTGTTGACCTGCATTGGGTCCGATACCATCATCGAAAGCAGATGTGAATTTCCGGGTTGGGCACGCCGGATCCAAACAGCATGCAGCGCGAGCTAGGTCTCGAACAGGCATTGTTCGAAGAGTAGTTGGGCTCGTTGACCCTGTCTTAACCGGTCTCGTCCTCTGCAGCCTTCGATTCGAAATCCCTTCGAGCGCCGCAGGCCTGGCTCAAGATGCTCTCAAGCATCTACACATCGCCATCCTGGTCTCAAAACCTTTCGATCGGAAAAGCGATTGAGTGGCGGCCATAGTTGGAGGACCCGAGCGAGTTGGCAGTTTTCAGCAGAGGGGTGCTCCTGTTCGAAAAATCGAGCCGCGTGCTCCTCCAGCGTCTTGGCACGCACTTGTGCTGGTCCTTCTGATGCCCGTCCCCCTCCCTCCATCCCTCCCTCCTCCCTCCATCCCTCCCTCCCTCCTTCTCCTCCCTCCCCTATTCCCACCTTCCTCCTCCCTCCCTCCTCCTCCCTCCTCCCTCCTCCTCCTCCTCCTTCTCCTCCTCCTCCTCCTCCTCCTCCCTTGTTCGAAGCCGAGCCCCGTCCTCCCTCCTCCCTCCCTCCCTCCCTCCTCATACTCCGTCGCTTCCCTTCCTCCCTTTCCCCCTCGCAATCCTCCTTCTCCTCCTCCTCGTCCTCCTCCTCCTACTCCTCCTCCTGCGCTTCTCTTAACATCGTGCACCTCGTCACACTACTAGACGACTTGGGCAAAATATTCGATTCAAACATTCCTACAGGGTAAGACCCTGAAGGTAATGTATTGAAGCGCTACGAGGTTGGAGGACTGGGGATTTTCAACATGCGGCTCTCGATTTAGCGCCGCGCAAGTTCGTTGGAAATTGCTCCAAAGAGACACGCGGGGGGGCTGGGTCGTTTTCAAAGTGCGGCTCTCGACTTATAATGTTGTTGCGCACAGTCGGCTCAATTCCAACAACTAGAAGGATTGTGGTCATGGTGTTTTCAACCTGCGGGTCTCGCTCGTAGCGCCGCGCGTATTCAACAATTCCCAAATGTGTAAAGGCGGAAGGCCAGTTTGTTTTCAAAGTTCGGCTCTCGATTGGAATATCGTCGGACTCCACGACGAGAAGTTCCAAAGCATTCAGCAGCCAAACGGATGGAGGGTGGCTCCTTTTCGAAATGGGGGTCCTTTCCACAATCTGTTTGACCCGGGCTTCCTGCAATTCTGCAACACCTAAACGGGCGGAGGGCAGATTTTCACAGCGGGATTCTCACCGTACGCTCATGTTGAACGGTTCAGGCGGCCCGGATTAGCAGGTCGACCCTGCCAGATCAAGGCTACCTTCGTGTCCTGTGTCTTGCGACCCATGCCTCCTGCACTTCCGTGGCAGCGTGGCCCCGGGAAGGGTCTTGTGTCCTCTCGCGTGTCCTCTCCAGTCAAGTCCGACTGTCTCATCCTAGTTTCGCAGGCCTCGAGGTTGACACCAACACCAAGATCGGCGGTGTGCCTCCACCGAGGGAAGACGATCCCGATCCCGGTGATGGTGCTGATGATTTGGCTGCCAAGGTGACCGAAATACTACCACCAGCACCGAAGTCTGGGATCATCCTCCTCCTGTGGAGACAGCCCCTTGTGTTGGTGTTGGTGCCACTTTCTAGGCCTCCAACAGTTTGCGTCACTTCCAGCTGGAAAGGTTCGGTGGGGGGTCCCGTAGACACGGGGTCTCGCCCGAGCGGCGGGCCCGCCAGGCGCTCTCCAGGCAAGGGTTGCGGAGGACGATCAGTGGAGAGGAAGCGTTTGGCCAAATACTTTCCAGATGCCCAAAACACGTGTTAAACATGCTTTTTGCATGTAAAAAAACACATGCTTAAGACATGTTTCGACAATTGTCCGACATCTTAAACACAGTTTGCACTCAGTGATGGGACTGCTAGGGTGTCCATTGTCGTGGCATCCACATGTCAAGGGAAACGCTTCCAGCAGTGGAATGGAAGCCCTGCACGGATTTTCGATGTAAAGGTTTCGACTGGAGGGGTGTATTGCAGCAGTGTTTACACACATTGGGTTTATTGCGGCCCTCCTCTTGCGTTGCGCTCGCTTTGCCTACCGGTGGCAAGCGTACGAAGACGTCGAACGGCGAAATGAAAAAAGATAATTTTGGCGTGCTCGATCAACAAAACTCTCATGAACTCGGCAGCCTATGCTCCTCCTCCTCCTCGCTATCTTCTCGCCTCTGCATCTCCATCCCTCCTCTTGTTGCATTGCCTCGTGCTGCTGCCCATCTGATGTCTGTCCAGTGGCTTTCGGCTCATCCCTCCACCACGCCTGGGTCGTGGACAAAGGCCGCCTGGAGGCCTCTTGGAGGGGATCTCCGACAACATCGTGGGGTCTCCTTGGAGGCTTGTGTGTGTGTGTGTGTGTGTGTGTGTGTGTGTGTGTGTGTGTGTGTGTGTGTGTGTGTGTGTGTGTGTGTGTGTGTGTGTGTGTGTGTGTGTGTGTGTGTGTGTGTGTGTGTGTGTGTGTGTGTGTGTGTGTGTGTGTGTGTGTGTGTGTGTGTGGGTGGGGGGGGGGGGGGGGGGGGGAGGGGGGGGGGCCTCGCGGGAGGGCCACTCGGAGGTCCGCAGGGGCTTTCTGGGCGCTGCTTTGGGGCCTCTTGGGGGCCCGCTGGCGGTCTCGAGGACAATCTGAAATCACCCAGACCCGGACAAATGGCGTTTATTAAACGGCCCGGGGTGTTTACTGTACTAAACAGCCCTGCCTTGTTCGATTCCCTCCTGGGTGCGTTTACTGAGCGGCTTCGATTGTCGGGGTGCTTCTCATGGGGGGGGGGATTTTCTGCTCATATGGGGGGATATCAGGTGGGATTTCCCATCGTCTTGGTTTGCCTTGGACGCTCGTAAGGCCAAAAAGCCGAGGTAGCCAAGATCGTGCACACACTCATCGCCCTCTTCAGTGTCTGGAGCCTCTCGGGCCTGCCTTCTGGATGGCCCAAGAGGTGGCCTCGGAGTTGTCTCGTGGCTCAGTCCGAGAGCGCGCCATGACGCCCACGAGTTTAGGGAATGCTAGGTATGGACCCTTTGCAACATATGTGATGTATCCAATTCAGTGAACTCGAGGGAACCTGTGGACATTTCACACTGTGCGTGCGGCACGTCGGAGGATGTGGCCATGCTATTCCTCCTCCTCCTCCTCCTCCTCCTCGTCCTCCTCCTCTATTTTCCGCGATATTGCTTCTCATCGTTCCCCGTTCTTCTTCCTCCCTCGTCGGCCTCGTTATCCTCATATTCCTGATCCTCTTACTCAGAGTTTCTTATATGTACCTTTTGCTTCCTCGCCCCTCCTTATCTCATGCCTCCTTCGCCATTGTATCCTTCTGTTTCTTGTCCTGCTCCTCCTGTTGCACCCTGTTGAACGCAGGGTCCTCGTCATCCTCCTCCCCTTTTCTTCCATGCCGTCCTCCTGCTCCTCATCCGTTCCCCCTTTGGCCATACTTAAGCATCGTGCTGCTACATCTGATGCCGCGCCGGTTGCTCCGACGCGCGGCCTTCCGTCTTGGGGAAGGCGCCTTGGCCACCAGGGCAAAAGCCGCTTCGGGCGCGGTGGGTTTGCCGCGGGATTGGCGCGGTGGTGGCCTCGTCCACTTGGGCGCGGGGCGCAGGGCTTGCCGTGGGCTTGCCGTGGTGTCGGCGTCGTCCACCTGGGCGAGTCGAGAACAAACGGCGCGGCAACATATGGCATCTGCGCAGGAGAAGACGGAGATCGAGAAGCTCCTCGCGCAGGAAAAGGCGGACATAGAGAGCGAGGAGGACCCGTGCAAGCTGCCGGAGGAGGCCGTGCTGAAGGTGCAGAGGATCATTGACGAAGAGATGGAGGGCGCGGAGTTCGCGGCCCATGAGAAGGAGGTCTTGGGCGACGGCCGAGGGGGTTCCGATGTTCGAGGTTTGTGGGTTTCGGGCGTTTTCGCCGGTTCTGCCCGGCTTTCCAGCCTCGGGATGCCTTCCAGCGGCTGCGCCTCGCCGAGGGCGTTCCGGGGGCGCCGGGTCGTCCCGAACGGCCGCCGGAGGCTCGAGTTTTGACCCGAAAACCACCAGGAAACTTTTTTTTGTTGCGATGCGTTCAGCCCTCGACATCTGACACGATGGTTCGGAGGCATCCTGCTTGTGGTTTGGGTATTCCACCTCGGAGTGCTCTTCGTTTCGGTACGGTCGGGCCGAAGTATAAGGTCGACGTTGGTTCCGGGAGGGCACCCTGATGTTCTTCGTGCCTGTTGGATGTATTTTTGTGCATCCTGGGGGAGGGCACCCTTCAATGTTCTTCCGTCTGGCTGGCGGAGGGTCTCATGTTCTTGAAGGATGTTCTTCTGTCCCAGGTCCTAGGTCCGACAGTATCTGCCAGCGGCCCCGTGCCTCCGACCACGGGCCCCGCCTGCCCTCGACTCACGTCCTCATGGCCATATACATGTTGCAGCTTGCGCCTCAAAACAGCACGCCGAGCACGGTGCTCAAGGCTTTGTTCGGCGTCCCGGGGGCGGCGCTTCTTGGCGCAGCACAGTCCCCGCGAGGAAGCAAAGCCGTCCGCGCTCGTGTCGAGAGTTCCGAGGCCCAGCGGACAGAGAAATTCGGTGTGGCTGCAAGTCTGCGGGGAGTGACGGGTCTTCGCCACCGCCGTTGGCCCGCCGTGAGGCCACTGGGTCCTGAGGGAAACGGGTCCAGGGTCTCCTCCGATACGAGGTTTGTTCAGTCCTGGCGGTTTCCCTCGAGTGGTGCCACCCTGGGGCCCCTTGTCGGGCCCCAGGAGGCACCGAACTGGATACGGGGCGCGAAGCAGCTGCCCACAGAAGGGCTTGGGACCCTCTGCGGAAAAGGGTCGGGATCTTTGCGTGGAACAAGAAGACACATCGGACAACTCACCAACAAAATCATCGTGTGCGTTATCCAAAGATGGTAGCACAATACCCAGCAACCATTTTCTGTGCTTGGGTCCCGAGGTCTGCCCCCGCTTTCGGGCCCTCGCGCCCTTGCGAATCAGAACATTATGCCGAAAAAGCTTCGCGCGCGCACGCTGGAGTCGTTCGAGCGCCTTTGCGCGCGTGCTGTCGAGAGAACCCCTTGCAGATGACGGGGCGAAGTGCGCGCGCGCGTCGCCGCGCGCGCGCGCCGACGTCCGTCAAACACCTCCGGTTTCGAAAGGTTCAAAGGCGAGTGCCCGAAACAAATGTAAGAACACATTGTTTCGCAACATCAGTTTTCAAAGAAACTCGCGCTCGCACTCTTGCGAATTCTTGGGTGAGGCATCGTTTTTTAACATTCTCATGCAAGTCTGCCAAAGGGGCTTTTTCGCGCCGTGCGCCGAGATCACTCGCGCGCCCATGCGCGCGTGCTGGGGGGGGGAGGCGCGTCTCTTGCGCGTCGGCTCGCGCGCATGTCGAATTCTTTTCTAAACCTTCACCACCGGCGCGAGGGCGCCGTCATCGTCGCCGGCGCGATCAGCATCGGCGCCGTTGCAAGCCGCGCCGTCGTCGTTGTCGACATCGTCGCCGGAATATCCACTATCATCGTCGCGTCTACCGTCGCCAACGTTGCCATGGCGCCGCGCCCGCCCAAGTCGCCGACTCGCAGTGAAGTGCCCGCTGGGATTCGCCCGGCGGTCGGCGTCACCGCGGCTGCGTCGGTCGCGCCAAACTAGCTGGCGACTGCGCGCGCGTGCTTGGGTTGGCGCGGCCGCAGAGACGCAACAGTCAACGCCGCGCACTCATCGCAAACGCCGCCGCGTGGGTTTTTCAAACCAAATTGAAGGTGGGTGGGCGGGATGTCTGCATGTGCGTGGAATGAGCCAACGCCTTTGTAAACATCAAGTGCGCCACATTGACTGCATCCGTTAATTGCACTACGTAGGTAGCGCCGCGTAGACGGCAGCACATATATTCTCCTTTCTTAGAAGGGAACCAGATTCCTCCCCCCGAGAGTTTTAATTCGCTAGTTCGCATTGTGATTTAGAAATGATTCTACCACATAGTCCATCCTAAAGCTGAATTCGCACCATCCAAGGGGGGCCGGTATCTCTCCCCCCCATCCTCTGCAAGCAATGCTATCCGCGCGCGCTCGTTCATCAACAATCGCAATCGTGCAAGAATCCCGTGCCAAAAATTTGACAAAGTGCAAATTGACGCGTGCGCATGTCGCAATCGTTCGAATGCCCTTGCGCGCGTGCTGTCGCGAGAGTCCTTTTTTTCAAACAGATGGGACGACATGCGCGCGCGCGTGTCGTCGCGCGCGCATGCCGGAATCCGTCAAAAACCTTTGGTGTCGTAAGGGTTTCAAAACCGAGTGTCCAAAACAACTATAGAAACACACACACATATATATATATGTATATAGATAGAAAACACAGTGATTCGCAACAGCAGTTTTCAAAACGCCTTCGCTCGCGCTCTTGCGAATTCTTAGGCGAAGCATCGTTTTTAAACATTACCGTGAAATTCTACCAAACTTGGTTTTTCGCGCCGCGTGCCGAGATCTATCGCACGCCCTTGCGCACGTGCTGGGGGCACGATCCGGTGCAAGTAATACCACGCCGGCCACTCAGTGCGCGTCGGCCACGCGTGCATGTCGAACTCTTTCCGAAGCCTTTTTACCACCGACGCGAGGACGCCTTCATCGCCGTCGGTTTGATCAGCATCGGCGCCGTCACTGGCCGCTCCGACGTCGTTGCCAACATCGACACCAACATCCCTACAAGCATCATCGTGTCTACCGTTGTCGACGTTGCCATGATACCCCGCCCGCCCATGTCGCCGACTCGCAGTGAAAATTTCGGGTGGGTGGGACGTTTGCAAGGGCAATGAATATGTCAACTCGTTTGTAGAAACCAGTTGCGCCTCGTAGGTTGCGCCGCGCAGATTGCATTACATCAGTTGCATCGTATACATTACACCACGTATATTGCACCGCGTAGACTCCAAGAACCTATTGTTTGGGGTCCTCGCTGGCAAAAATATTCAGTTTTGCTTCAATATTCGCCTGTAGGAGGGCATGCCCGACCCATGGCCAGTGGCCGCAGCACCAGAAATCGTGGAGAGCTTTGGCTGTGCACGAGTGATCCAGGCCTTCCCTCTGCACGGGGGGCGCGGAGGTGGCCGCGCGCCCGGTGCCTCGTCTGCCCGGGTTCTGAAGAGTGCCCTCCTCCCTGGGGCCACGCGAGGGGGGGTGGGGGGCGGAGGCAACAGGGTTCGTTTCGATTCCTCTGGCTCCATTCGATCCGATTTCGATGTAGTTCGATTCCAGTTCGATTCGACCTCGGATGCCGAGTCGGAGTTCGGCTTTTCAATGGAGGCCGTATTCGTCTGTCGATTTTCGCCGACTCGACTTCTCCCGACTTGGCTGTTCATTCCGATCATCGCCGAGCCGATTTGTCGATTCGATTATCGGCTCCCCTGCCCTTCTTCTCAAGGCCTACGCTACGGACGCGGAGGCAAGGGCTTTCCGAGGTCCGCGCGGCGCGCGCGACTTTGCATGATTTGGACGGTCAATGGAAATCCAAGGGGCGGCGCGAAGCGCGAAGCCAGGTGAAGTACTTGAAGGAGGAGCTGAACAAGCTGCGGGGCTCATCCAAAAAGCCGCACACCAAGATCGCCAACGGCACGGGCAACAGCACAGCCAAGAACGGCAGCACAGCCAAGGCCAGCAGCAAGAAAAAGGCCAGTTTCTTCCTTCACGTATGTGTTCCCCTTCGCCGCCGTCCACTCCCGTCGCCCCCACTTTACCACGACCACCACCACCCCAGACCCTTACCTTCGTTTCTCTTGTATTCCCCTCTCCGTGCACCTCCTCCTGCTCCTCGCTGTGCCATCGCATTCCCCTGTCAGCAGCGCAGTGCGACATGTCTGCTTCCCAGATGAGACCAGCGGAGCTCGAATTAGGAACATGCCGGAAGTCCTGCTGCTCCTCTTCCTCCTCCTCCTCCTCCTCCTCCTCCTCCTCCTCCTCCTCCTCCTCCTCCTCCTCCTCCTCCTCCTCCTCCTCCTCCCTCTCTTCCTCCTCCTCCTCCTCCTCCTCCTCCTCCTCCTCCTCCTCCTCCTCCTCCTCCCTCTCTTCCCTCAGCGTGGCTCACGGTCATCTCCTGGGTCGTGTTCTGCGCAGGGCACGCGCTGTGTTTGCTGCCCCAGCTGTCATCAGCGGAGTTCCAATTAGGAGCAGATTTGAATTAAGCTTGGCGTGCCCCTTTACAGGAGGAATACTCAAGCATAGGAACACATAGTCTGGTGACGATGTTTCGTGCTCGCTTGACTGCTTCTGGTTTGTGTGCCTACTTTGGCAGTTCCTTCCAACAGCTGCCTGCAGGAGGACATGCCCGACCTAAGACTGAAAATCCTGCTCCTCCTCCCACTCCCCCTCGTCCCCTCAAAATCGCCCCCCGGCCCTCTCCTGGATCGTGTTCCGACTAGAAGCCAGAGGCAAGTCCAGCCACGGTGCGACGGGGGCTTCCCAACTCCTGGCACCTCGGACGCTCCCTCCTGCCGAACCGCTGGGAAGCCTCGGATCCATGGTCGGGAGCCCCCCCTGCTTTCTGAGCAAGCCGCCAGCCACCTCCCCGCGCCCGTTGCCCCAGCCTCCCCCCCCCAGGAGCCGCAACCAGGTCAAGAATCGTGCAGACGCCTCGGTCCTCGATCCTCGATGGAGCGACCGCTGCGCCTCCCGAATGCGCTCCAGACCTGGTCCCCAGACCCCTCCCTGGTCGGGGCCCCACTGCTTGCTGATAGAGCTACGTCTGTCCCTGGACCCCTCCACGGGTGCATCCTGGGAGGTGTTCCGCGCCACGTCCAGCCATGGCGATGAGACCCTCCAGGGAAAGGCAAGAAGGGGAGATGGGCGCTTTCTACGAACCAGCCTTCAGTGCAATCAACGGACGCGGCAGAACGCGGCAGGCAGAGGTTGCCACGATGGAGCGTGAGATGTTGCAGCTTCTTTGGCCTTAGATTGCAACGCTCCCTGAAATGAGTTGACAGTGGCACTCAATGCGCTGCTTCGGGAGAGGGTTAAACACACTGATCATGCAGAACATTAATCTCTGGGCATGTCACGGGCCCGATTTCCGCTGCGCACACTTACGTCCCGAAGGTTCGGTGGCTTGGCGTTCCCCGGCTCCCTCGAGATCCCATGGCCGCTTCTCCTGACAAGAGTGTTGGCTTCCCAGTTGCTAGGAAGAGAACTCCACCATGCAACAGCTGACCACGGAGGAAGAAGAGGAGGAGAGGGATGAAGAGGAGAGGGATGAGGAAGAGAGGGATGAGGAGGAGGAGGAGAAGGAGGAGGAGGAGCGGGAGGAGAAGGAGGAGGAGGAGGGGATTAAGGTGTCTTATTCGTTTACCTTCTTGGAAGCAAAAAGCGTGTTCTTCGTGTCTGGCCAAAGTCAATATGGTTGAGGAGGGAAGCGAAGGGCACAAGGTAAACGCGATGGTGGATCTGACCCATTCGTCGGAACCGAGTTCGGCGCGCACAAGTGTTTGGCGCAAGAGGGGCGGCTTTAACGGAGCTTTTGGGAGCGAGCAGCAGGCTTTTCAAAAGCTCCACGGATGTTGCCAAGTGGCCTCCTGACAAGTCTCCCATGTCCTCCAAGAAGCCTCCCTGCCAGAAGAACCTCCGTGGCTTCCGAGAATCTAGCCGTCCGACGTTGTGGTTGTTTCGCAACGTGGCACCGCCGAAGTCTGAACACATTCCCAGGGACCAGCTTTTCATCAAGGAGTTCTTTGTGTGTTGCCCAACCACCCCCCTCCCCAAACATACGGGCCGAAAATTACCCAAACTTCCTGCCGATTCTTGCTCGACCATTCGAGGACGAAAGGAAGGGCACCCCCTGGCGCGCTCCGCGCGCCGGGGATGTGGTTCCAGGGACAATCCAGAGATCCGCGCGGACATCCCGGAGTCCATGGCCGTGCAGTTTTTCACGCCGCGAGGCAGGGATATCAGAGAAGGCCGCCCCCCATCTCTCGAAGACGGGATCGACTACAGGATGGGTCTGCTCCCAAATTGATCTTCCCGCCGCATGTGCAAGGAACGTGTCGAACGGTCGCAGATCTGCTGGACATGATACGCAGTGGGATCTACGGCGGGAAAATCAAGTCTGGGGTGCATCAATTCTGTAGTCGATCCCCTGCTCGAACCGCCGTGTCCCACCCCCACACACCGAAGGCCGCCAACACACCGAAGACCTCCTCTTTTTTTTCTCTGAGGTCGCAAGAGTCTGTCAGAGGCAATCCTCCCACAGCCTCCTCCTCCTCCTCCTCCTCCTTCTCCCTCCTCCTCCTCCTCCTCCCCTCCTCCCTCCTCCTCCTCCTCCTCCTCCTCCCTCCTCCTCCTCCTCCTCCTCATCCTCCTCCTCCTCCTCTCCTCCTCCTCCTCTCCTCTCCTCCTCCTCCTCCTCCTCCTCCTCCCTCCTCCTCCTCCCTCCTCCTCATCCTCCTCCCTCCTCCTCCTCCTCCTCCCTCCTCCCTCCTCCCTCCTCCCTCCCCCGCGCGTGCCAACACGCCGAAGGCCCCCAACATCACGCGCGGGCGGGAGCCGCCGCCCGCGTCCAACTGCTCCGACGCGGACGAGGACTGCCGGCAGACCCAGTGTTGCTCAGACCCCGGGCGCCAGTGCTACCCGAGGGGCCCAGCGCCTTGCCCGCCGTGCCCCAGAGGAGGAGGAGGAGGAGGAGGAGGAGGAGGAGGAGGAGGAGGAGGAGGAGGAGGAGGAGGAGGAGGAGGAGGAGGAGGAGGAGGGGGGGGGGAGGGGGAGGGGGAGGGGGAGGAGGAGGAGGACAAGCTAGGTGCGCGGGAGGGGGAGGGGGAGGAGGACAAGCTAGGTGCGCTCGCGGATCCCCTCTCTACTCGCACAGTCGGATGTCGAGCAGGGCAATGATTCCGAAAGGGTACGCGATGCATTGTAGAGCACGGCATGGCATGGCGTAGTAGAGCACCGCGAAGCGTAGTATCAACCTGGCATTGCATTGCATGCCGTGGCATGGCACGGGAAATGCCGCCAGCGCTGCAGCGGGAGCACGAGTCGAAACGAGCGGAAGCGCGGACATGAGGCCAGCGCTGCAGCGGGAGCACGATTCGGAACGAGCAGAAGCACGCCCGAATCGGCCCGGCAGGCTTCCCGGGCGCCAGAAGCAAAAATTCAGCCAGAAACAAGCCCAGGTGTATTAGAATGGCCTTTTTTCGGCGCCGCCTCGGAACTCGATTTTCCGGCGGCGGCCGGAACGGGCCGGACCCGGTCCGAGCGCCGGCCCGGGCGCCGGCTCGGGCGTGCAGCCCGGGCGCCGGCGGAAATGAGGCCAGCGCTGCAGCGGGAGCACGATTCGGAACGAGCGGGGCCCGAAAATGAGGCCGGCGCCTCAGCGAGAGCAGCATTTTGGAAACAAATGCAGGCGAAAACCCAACTCCAGGGAAACCTGTGTGTAAAAAACAATACGCGGGGGGGGGTCGGATTCTTTCAAGCCGTCATCAGGGGAAGAGGTGTAGTAGTATTCATATTGAGTAATTGTGGAGGAGGCGGGGGAGGAGGAGGAGGGGGAGGAGGAGGAGGAGGAAGAGCAGGAGGGGGAGGAGGAGGAGGAGGAGGAGGAGGAGGAGGAGGAGGAGGAGGAGGAGGAGGAGGAGGAGGAGGGGGGAGGGAAAGGGAGGAGGAGGAGGGGGAGGAGGAGGAGGAGGAGGAGGAGGAGGAGGAGGAGGAGGAGGAGGAGGAGGAGGAGGAGGAGGAGGAGGAGGAGGAGGAGAAGGGGGAGGGGAGGAGGAGGAGGAGGAGGAGGAGGAGGAGGAGGAGGAGGAGGAGGAGGAGGAGGAGGAGGAGGAGGAGGAGGAGGGGGAGGGGGAGGGAGGAGAGGGGAGGAGGGAGGAGGAGGGGAGGAGGAGGAGGAGGAGGAGGAGATTCTGGAGGCAGGAGAGGGGTGTGGTATATAAAGGGGGTAGGTGTCAATGGTTTGTTGTAAAGGGGATTCTGGAGATGATACTCAGCGCAGATAAGCGTCGCAGTTCACACGATTCGCACCATACCCCTTTTATGCCACACCCCTTTCCGACCTCCAGGGATGTGGGCGGCTTCGGATGTCGTGCACGTCGCTTGCCGCTTCCCGAACAAGAGTTGTCGTTGTTATTCCTCCTCCTCCTCCTCCTCCTCCTCCTCCGCCTCCTCCTCCTCCTCCCCGTGCCCTGAGCAGCTGGCGCGGAGTTTCACCCACTTCTGCCTGCGGTTGCTTCAGCTCGATCTCTTGCCCACGCGCCCGGACGGTGCATGGCTTGTGCGTGAGTTTCACGAGCGCCTGCAAGTTTGCACCCGCCTGTGCCCGAAGCGGCCGCCCCCTCGCGGGCAGACAGGCTTGACCTTGACCTTGACCTCGTCTGCCGCTTCCCTCTATTCGAGGGAGGGAAACCATCTCCCAGCCCCGACAGGTTGCGTTTGCTTGTTTGCTAAACGGACCTTGGCCTTTTTTTAACAGCCCCGCCCTGTTTGATTCCTTCCTGGGGTGCGCTAGCTAAACGGCTTCGCTTGTCGGGAGGCTCGGCTACGATGCCTGGCCCAAATGTGATCACACTTGAGCCGAGCATCGCTTTTTCATCACACTTGAGCCGAGCATCGCATTGCCACTGCAGCTCGTGAATGCACATGAATTGTTATCACACTATGTGGGTGGATTGTCTGCTCTCTATCGATGCTGCTTGCGCGTAGTCGTTGCGGCCGCGTCGCCCGAGACATCCTCCAGAGCCGCCAGAGCCCAGAGGTTCTCGACTTATCTTCACCCGATTCCATCCTCCTCCTGGTTTCGTCTTCTACTCGTGCTCCTCCTGATCCTCATCATCCCTCTCCCGGCCCCTGGCCGTCTCTGGAGATCAACGTACAGTGCCGTTTTTTTATACATGCTCCGCGTGCGGATCATGTATTAAACATGCAGGGATTCAGTATTAAAAACAACGATGAGTTCATGCATCAATTTATTCATACATTAGTCATGTATTAAGAACTCTACATTCAAACAAATCCTATGTATTAAAAGCTGCCCTGTACTATTGTTCGCGGAGGGGCCCCGGCCCTCTGGCAACATGAAAACACGAGGCGTGCACGGAGTGCCGCCCGAAAACTTCGGCCGCTGAGGACAAGGGCAGGCTCAGAGGAGGAAAAGGTACAGTGCCGTTTTTAAGACATGCTTCGCGTGCGGATCATGTATCAAACATGCAGGGATTTAGTATTAAAACAACGATGAGTTCATGCATATTTTCCCATATATTATTAATGTATAGAAATATTATAGGTTTTTTGTTTTAAAAATATTAAGCAAAACAAGCCTATGTATGATAAAAACTGCCCTGTACCCATACCGCTACCCTTCCCTCTTTTCCCTTTTGTTGGGCCTCCTGGGAGGCCCTCGTCGCCGCCGCTGGATTCGCTTCGGATTCTGGTCTGAGCGCACCCCAGGAGAGGTCCGGTGAGTAGGGGTATCAGGATTCTTCTGTTTCCCCAGAAACCTTGTAATACACCCCTAGGGGGGGGCTATTCGGACGCATCCCTATCGATGATTGACGCCACCCCATCGTACATCCCAGGATTGGGTCCCAAATGTCTGGTCCACGACGCCTGGGATAGGCGTCGACATATCCCCTGGTATTTCTGAGGCCTCCATGCACGAAATGGGTACGGAAAGAATGTGTACGATGCCCCACTGCAATTCTTGTTCATGTTGAACCAGATTTGCTATCGGTACCGCCGCGGGCCTCGTCCATTTCAGACAGGAGGTTGCCTGCCCAACAGCGGCCGCTGTTGGTTTTGGACAACATTGGTTGTTTGGGCACCGTGCCCACCTTCCACGTGCCCAATTCGGGCGGCCTCGGATCGGGCCGGACGAAAGGGGGGCATTGGGAAAGGGGGGGTACGAAATTTGCTGCATGCAGCTGGTTTCAGCCCCACCGAGGGGCCCATTCCTCGACTCGCAGCCGCCTCCGGCGCCGGGAGGCGCCGGGAAAATCAGCTACGTGAGCTGATTCTCAACCCCCCCCTTTGCTGTCCCCCCTTTCGCCCGACCCGAACGGAGGAGGCGTGCACGGAGCACGGAGGCCTCCCCACTCGCCATGTGGGAGGCCTCCCCAGTCGCAGCTGCGGGCCCTCGGCTCGCAGAGGGGCGGGTCCCCCTCCTCCCCTCCCCCCCGCGCCCGGGGCCGCTCGTCCCTGGGTTCAGGAACACGGAGCGCCGACACCAACACCACCGAGGGACCACCAGGGTGCCAATGTGCCACGCCTGCCATATCGCAGTGAACACTGGACCATATCTATATATCTATATATATATATACATCTTAATTTTTTTTAGGAACAGAAACACTTGTTTGATTCGCGGGTCGAGAGCGCACCTCTTCCGGTCGAAGCTAAGCGGGCCGCGCGAAGCCTGAATGAACGAAGAGGGAGGGAAACGCCGACACCAACACCACCAGGGACCACCAGGGAGGAGCCAGGGAGGGATTCCCCTGATGGTGTGGTCCCCCCCTCTCGCTCAAAGGCCTCCCTTGTCCGCAGCTCGGGGAGGCATCGTGGACCTCCTCGCTGGAGGTGGCACCCTGGTGGCGTTGGCGTCGCTCCTCCTTCCCCCCAAAGGGTTGTTCCGTCCCCGCTGTGCCGTCTGGCTGCAGCGGGAAGCTGCACGTCCCCCTGCAGCTTCACGCGCTTCTGCCTGCAGACGCCTCCCCTTTTCAGGGCAGTAGCTGCTTCCCCTCGCAGCCGCCACTCTGCACTCAGAGGTGTATTGCCCCTGCTGGCAAACAATCTCCTTGGGCATGATACGCTGTACGGGTTTACTCGTATCGGTCCATGTTCAACCGATGTTGCTGCGCTGGGCAGACCGCCGAGTGGATCGACAGCCTCGTGGTAACGCCTGCTCCTCTGAAAGAAAATTCATTGTACCCAACCCACTTGCATCCAGTAGCAAGAGGAGTTGGCCCACATTTTTATGCATGTTTGACAATGTCAGATCCGTCATTTGTTGCACGAGCTGTATGGGAAGCGCGCGTTGAGCGACTCACGTGACAGCAACAGAGTCCCCAGGCTCGACGAGGAAATGGGCGTGGGAATGGGGGGGGCAGGAAACGGACGCGATGGGGGCCGACAACACAGCGCGGAAGCAGCAGGGAGACGGTGGAAGGAGGAAGAGGACGACAACGAAAAAGGCGGGATGAGAAAGAAGAGTGACGCCTTTTTTCCAGCAGCGCGCTGCGCATGCAGCGCTGCCGGCGCAATGTCGTTCTGGCGCTCCAGATCGGCGGCGAGCGACGGGGGGAAGTGAGAAGGCGAAGACCTTCCCAGAAGACGGCGGGACTTCTCAGAAGCCCTCGCGCCTTCTGAGCAGTTTTTTGTGTGTTCCGGGGAGGCTTAGAAAACTTCTCAGAAGGCCGGGGGACTCCCGAGCCTTCCGAGAAGGCCCTCCCCTTCTCGCTTCCCCCCCTCGCTCGCCGCCGACCAGAGGATCAGGTCTTCAGAACTCGTGCACGACGCAAGCGAGGCCCAGCTCGCCCGCCAGATTCTCCGCCCCCTTCCTGCACCCTTCCGTGCGGGAGCTGCACGCCCGCAGGCGCGCCGCTAGGTCTGCGGGCGGCCCGCGGGAAGGGAAATCAAGCCCCTGGGGATAGCGGTGTGGAGGACGATCAATGGAAGAGAAGCGTGTTGCCAAATGATTTCCAGATGTCTAAAACATGTGTTGACATGCTTAAACATGTAAACAACATGTTTGAAATATGGTTAGAATTAAGTCGGGCCCGTCCCTCTACAGGGGGGAAAGTTTAAACTAGTCAACAAATAGTCTGGAGACTTTTTTTGAGTATGTTGTAAACATTTGGAGCATGTTTTGAGTATTTTTTCATTTTTCGTCGCAAATCCCCCTGTAGGGGGACATGCCCGACTTAAGTTTAGAACATTTTCCGACATTGTAATCACATTTCGAATTCAATGATAGGACTGTTAGGGTGTCCAGTATCGTGGCATCCACAAGGATAACTTGGTCGAGTCTGGATCGGGCTGCCATGCCGCTCCGGTGGAGCCCCCGGAAGCCCTTGAAAGTGGCGCTATTTTTGCAGATTGTAGCTCCCCGGGGACGTCGGGGCTTGATTCAGATCCGCGTGTAACGCCATTCCGTTGGACCAACCACCAGCCTTCGAAAGTGGCGACCTTTTTGCACATCGCGTTCCCCAAGGGATGGCGATGTCTACTTCAGATCCGCGAATGACGTCATTCCACTGGTCTCCCAGTGTCCAGAAGCGGCGAAATTTTCGCAGTTCGCAACCGCTTCAGGGATGGCGTGGTCTATCCTGGATCAGCGTATAATGTCATTCCGCTGGAGCCCCCAGCAACCCCATGAAGTGGCGACAGCTTCTCACTTCGCAACCGCCCCAGGGATGGCGAGGTCTAGTCCGAATCTGCGTATGAGGTCGCTTCACTGGACCCCCAGCATCCCTCGAACGTGACGACCGCGTAGATCGCAACCGCTCCACGGATGGCGCGGTCTATTGTGAATCCGCGTATGACATCACTCCGCTGGACGCCCCAGCATCCTTCGAAAGTGGCGACAGCTTCGCAGATCGATGCCCCCAGGGAAGGCGAGGTCTAATTCAGATCTGCGTGTGGCGTCGTTCCTCTGGACCCCCAGCAGCCTTCGAAATTGGCGATACTTTCGCAGCTCGCTGGAGCCGTTGACATTGGCGAGGATTTTGCAGGTCTCAACCCCCCATGGATGACGATGTGTAACTTCGACCCGCGTATGACGTCACTCCGCTGGATCGCCCAACAGCCCTTGAAGTTTGCGATGATTTTGCATTTCGCAGCCCCTTAGCGACGGCGAGGAGACAGGGTAGCAGGCAAGTAGGAGGCAGGCCGAACGCAAATGGGAGACAGGGTAGCAGGCAGGCAGGAGGGAGGCGGGAGAAGGCGTGTGCCCCCGAAGTGCCTTACGGTGGGGGCCTTCGTTAAGGAACGTGCCCAGGAGGCTTCAGACCCTGGAGGGGTCCTTATCCGATGAGGGCGGCGGTGAGATCCATGGCCAATCCACGATTGGCTTTCCAATGGCTTCCAGACCCTGGGTTTCTTATCGAAGGCTTCCTTATCCAATGCCTTCATCGTGTTCAACACGACCCACCGCAGGAAGGTTGGGACAAGCAAGTAATCAGTGTTCCAGCAGCGCGCGCATGAAGCCCCCTCACGGGGGCGGGCGGGCGGGAAGAACGAGTGGTGGGCGAGCTGCCGGGTGGAATGCGTCCCCGGCGTACCCGACCCCTCCGACCTGGATTCCGAGGTCTGGACGTGCGAGGAGTACGGCAACCGCACGGCCGGCGAGGTGGTCGATCAGGACATTCGACCAGTGGCGAAACGTTTTGGTTTGCCTACAGGCCCACCGAATAATGGTATTATAATCTTGTCTAGCTTGCACGGAATGTTCTTAGAACATGCATGTTGAGACTGTCTTGTTTGAACACATCGGCTGCACGTTCTAAGAACATTGCTTGCTTTGATCGGAAATTCTGTGTAGCATGTCATGGCGGGCTTGTAGGAATTCCGGGACGGTCGGTCCCTGTTCAAAACGTCGACGAACGTGCGGCGCCAGTGCCTCTTTTCCTCTCGTCACGCCGTGCTGTTCTCTCTCTGCCTGTTCCTCCTCGGCTATCTCCTTCCTGTTGCTGTCGTTCCGCTTCCCCCTTTCCGATGCCTCCTCCTCCCCTTGCCCCCGCTTCTGCCCCCTTTTCCGCCCCATGCCATTCCTCCGCCTTCTGCTCATCCTTCCTCCCCCTCGTTCGTGTCCTCCTCGTTCTCGTTTCCCGCCCTTCCTCCGTCCTACTTCCTCACCCCAGTTACTCCTGTTTCGTCCCTGTCCACCATCAACCACCTTCTCCTCTTCATCTCCCCGCCGTCCCCCATCTCTCCCCATCTTCCTTTTCATGCCATCCCCTCGTCTACCCCTCCTTCATTTCCTCCTCCCACCCGATTATCCTCATCCCCGCTCCTTTTTCTTGTGGTCTAGTCCTTACCCTCCTCCAGCTTCCCGTCCTCGTCCTCATCATTGTGTCCTTCCTTATCTTGCATTAGCATCGTTTCCCCCCCTCAGGGGAGCGGGGGAAGGAGCAGCACGTCGAGCGAGGACGACGGGGATGGGACGGGGGTGGACGGGGATGGGGGGAAAACGCGGAGGGGAGTGGGAGGGGGAGCGGAGTGGTGCATACCTGCGCACCCTGCCCTCGTCAAACAGGAGAAATGCCACGACGTCGGCGACAATTGCATGACGAACCGATGCTGCAAGGATCCAGGCTTCGCCTGCTACACCAAGAACGAAACGTTCGGAATGTGCTTTCCGGGCTGAATTGGCCTTTCATACGTCCGTCCCTGTTACTGATGCAGCCAGCCCTGATTTGTAGGTCGACTCTGCCAAATCAATGGCATCCTGATGCCCTGTATCTCGCGACCCATGCCTGCTACATTCCTGTGGCAATATTAGTCTCGAAAGGGTCTCGTGCCCTCTAACGTGTCCTGTCCAACCATCTCCGACTGTATGTAACTTCTCTCCGTCGCACAACCAGGCGTGTTGGTAGGGCGGGCTGGGCCTCTCGACTGCGGTTTGTTTAGGTCCCTGGAGCTCGAGTTGATCAGTTGTTGTGAGCGCACGGTTTTTCGTGAACGAGCCCAGCGGCTCCAAGGGGGGGAGGACGCGTCGTGGATACCCTAACGCCTTCACCTGCGAGCCGCTCACACTCCGCTTAGGCGCTTTCTATAGTCGCTAGGACGGATGGCGGGCCGCTTTCGAAATGCGGCCACCACCGTAGCGCCTTGCACGCAGACGTCCCTCCGATGCAAGGTGGACGGCGGGTCGTTTTCAAAGGGTGGCTCTCGTGTGACACCTCCGCCGGTCTCATGGCCGCACACTTACCATCACAGGGGCCCTCGCCGCCTGGGACCCACCACAGGCCGAGACGGCGAGCACGATTCGGGCGCAGCCAGTGACGGCCAACCAGCTCGGGCCCCGTCGGGTCGCTTCTGCCCGGCTTCGGCCTCGTCGTCGGCGTCATTGTCGTTGTCGATTTTCTCATCGTCCTTCTCATCCTTCTCTCTTTCTCCTCTCTCTCTCTCTCTTTCTTTCTCGATCTCTGTCTCCCTTTCTCCTTCTCTCCTTCTCTCTTTATCCTTCTCTCTTTCTCCTTCTCTCTCTCTTTCTCTGTCTCGATCTCCTTCTCTCTCTCTTTCTCCCTCGGGCCTTACGGGTCCCGGCTCCATCCGTTTCGGGCGGCTCGGGAGTCTCCTCGGGGCCTTCCGACTCCTTGGGGTCGTCGTCGGGGATTGGAGCGTCTCAACCCCAGGGTGTTGGAGACTTCAGGAGTGTAGTTAGCCTCCGGCGAGCAGCTCTGAACCAGGATCATGGAGCTCCCTCACCGTTTACCTTCAGCCGTTCGCCCAGCGAAAGCCCCGGCTTCTGGATCAACATCTCGCCTGGCCAAGGCCCAATTGGTTGAGATGGCCCCCGAGGGACGGGAGGTTCGGGACCGAACTTGCCAGGTCATTGTTAGAGACTTTTGGCAGCCAGCCGACGAGGCAGCTTCCACCCACGCTGGAGACTCGTCGCATGAGGAACCATCCCCATGTGTTGACGAAGAGTCCGAGGAGGAACATCCTTGGGCCAGCGAGAATGTTTCCAGGACAACTGCCACCCGTGCCACTGTCGAGTCGCAAGAGAGGCCGTTGGCGAGCAAGGACAAACGAGCCCCTCATGAGACTGATCTGCCTGAGCAGTCGAAATCGGCCCAGCGTGAGAATCCCCCCCACACACCTACTCAACCCAGGGGTCGGAGTCAACTTGTGCCAACCAGCGTGATTCTCCACAGGACAGCCGTGCCAGACAGCAGCCGTCAGTCAACGTTCCAAGCGAGCTCTGGAGCCATCACCGTGCACAAACGGAGATGCTGAACCCCGGCTGTTGCTGCCCTGCTGCCGCTATCGTGCAATCGGTAGTTTGCAGGCTCCAGCCTGACATTTCTACGCATCTTGGCCAACTGTACGAATCTTGTGCCCTGCCGCGGAGTTAACCATCCACCGGCACCATCGGCAGGGCCATCCCGTGCGCTCCAGATCTCGCAAGGGTCGGAGTTCCCCGTCGTCACAGTCCGAAAGGCTCCGAGCATTCGCTTGCCTATTCTTCGAGATTGGCAGCTCGTGGTGGACACGGCTACACACCATGATGCATCATTTTAAACTAGATCGATTCGGTGGTAATCGCCAGCGCCATTGTATCCAAGTGTGCGAGGCAATCGACCGACTGCAGCAGGAGGCATCCACAGGAGCTGTGGGCATCATCCGAGCCAAAGGCGATTTCCCGTGGTGCCTTGGGCAAAGGGGCTGGAACTGCTGAGGATCATCCGATCGACCTCGGTTGGGACCGCGGTGGACTACGTTGCTGCCTGTGGACACCTCGCCCGACGAGCACAGCGTCGAACCATCGGCAAATCCTTCCACGAGTTTCGCGAGTTGGCGGTGACGTCTCGTGCCCTGAGCGCACTGTGCAGGTCACCGAAGCCTCGGCCGACACCAGCCGAAACGATTCAAGTCGGCGACTCTAGATTGGCTCACTCTAAGGACCTCCTGGACCAAAGGCCACCAGCTGGCACGAACTGCGGGCACATGCGGGCCGCGAATCCAAGCGCGGATGCGAGAGCAATGACTGGCCTCACTGTCAGGGGTAGACGTGCGGCGGGCCCTTCGACGCCAGGGGGCCTCTACCAGCATGGGCACCGACCGCGTGAGCTTGCTGGATCTGCGCCAACTACCGCAGGGGGGCCTCAGAGGAGCTCGCCTGTGTTTGTTCCACATCATGGAACATGTGCAGATGTGGCCCCATCACCAACTCATGACGATTGGAGTGATGAGGGCCACGAAGGACAACGGCGATCGCATCATCGGGCTTTCTCTTGGGGCGGCACGCTGGTGGTCCGCGTGCCGCGAGGACGCCGTCCAAGAGCGGGGTCAAGGTTGTTTCGCTCACTGGTGCGCGGCACTCTGCGAAGCCTGCGAGAGGGCCGTCCAAGAGGATCTCGCGGCCTACGTTCGAGTTCCATAGAGAAACGGAGCATTCAATCCCACGACTCTACACCGTGGGTCGACCTCGGCAACCAAGCACTCGACCTTGACCTCCCTGCGGGGGTGCTCGGCGCAGTGGTCCCCCTGTGCGTTGCGCCGAGGACGTCGCCTCACAATGGAAGCTCAATTATTGCACTTTTTCCCAACCATCCTGTGGTGTTGGGTCCTCGTTCCCAACCATCCTGTGGTGTTGGGTCCTCGTTCCCAACCATCCTGTGGTGTTGGGTCCTCGTTTTGAAGAGACGGTGCCCGCGTCCTCTCCTCCTCCTCCTCTTCCTCCCCCTCCTTGCCTCTGCTCTCGGCACACCTCTCACGCGCTTCGTAGCCCCATAGGGAGCTCCACCGAAGGCCCCAGTGGGGGTGTTCGCATGCGGTTCCCCCACCCAGGGCAGCGTTTCGTGGCCCCATAGGGAGCTCCACCGAAGGCCCCAGTGGGGGTGTTCGCATGCGGTTCCCCCACCCAGGGCAGCGTTTCGTAGCCCCATAGGGAGCTCCACCGAAGGCCCCAGTGGGGGTGTTCGCATGCGGTTCCCCCACCCAGGGCAGCGTTTCGTGGCCCCATAGGGAGCTCCACCGAAGGCCCCAGTGGGGGTGTTCGCATGCGGTTCCCCCACCCAGGGCAGCGTTTCGTAGCCCCATAGGGAGCTCCACCGAAGGCCCCAGTGGGGGTGTTCGCATGCGGTTCCCCACCCAGGGCAGCGTTTCGTAGCCCCATAGGGAGCTCCACCGAAGGCCCCAGTGGGGGTGTTCGCATGCGGTTCCCCCACCCAGGGCAGCGTTTCGTGGCCCCATAGGGAGCTCCACCGAAGGCCCCAGTGGGGGTGTTCGCATGCGGTTCCCCCACCCAGGGCAGCGTTTCGTGGCCCCATAGGGAGCTCCACCGAAGGCCCCAGTGGGGGTGTTCGCATGCGGTTCCCCCACCCAGGGCAGCGTTTCGTAGCCCCATAGGGAGCTCCACCGAAGGCCCCAGTGGGGGTGTTCGCATGCGGTTCCCCCACCCAGGGCAGCGTTTCGTGCCCCATAGGGAGCTCCACCGAAGGCCCCAGTGGGGGTTCGCATGCGGTTCCCCCAGCAGGGAGGCCCCAGTGGGGGTGTTCGCATGCGGTTCCCCCACCCAGGGCAGCGTTTCGTAGCCCCATAGGGAGCTCCACCGAAGGCCCCAGTGGGGGTGTTCGCATGCGGTTCCCCCACCCAGGGCAGCGTTTCGTGGCCCCATAGGGAGCTCCACCGAAGGCCCCAGTGGGGGTGTTCGCATGCGGTTCCCTCACCCAGGGCAGCGTTTCGTGGCCCCATAGGGAGCTCCACCGAAGGCCCCAGTGGGGGCGTTCGCATGCGGTTCCCCCACCCAGGGCAGCGTTTCGTGGCCCCATAGGGAGCTCCACCGAAGGCCCCAGTGGGGGTGTTCGCATGCGGTTCCCCCACCCAGGGCAGCGTTTCGTGGCCCCATAGGGAGCTCCACCGAAGGCCCCAGTGGGGGTGTTCGCATGCGGTTCCCCCACCCAGGGCAGCGTTTCGTGGCCCCATAGGGAGCTCCACCGAAGGCCCCAGTGGGGGTGTTCGCATGCGGTTCCCCCACCCAGGGCAGCGTTTCGTAGCCCCATAGGGAGCTCCACCGAAGGCCCCAGTGGGGGTGTTCGCATGCGGTTCCCCCACCCAGGGCAGCGTTTCGTGGCCCCATAGGGAGCTCCACCGAAGGCCCCAGTGGGGGTGTTCGCATGCGGTTCCCCCACCCAGGGCTGCGCTTCGTAGCCCCATAGGGAGCTCCACCGAAGGCCCCAGTGGGGGTGTTCGCATGCGGTTCCCCCACCCAGGGCAGCGTTTCGTTGGCCCCATAGGGAGCTCCACCGAAGGCCCCAGTGGGGGTGTTCGCATGCGGTTCCCCCACCCAGGGCAGCGTTTCGTGGCCCCATAGGGAGCTCCACCGAAGGCCCCAGAGGGGGTGTTCGCATGCGGTTCCCCCACCCTGGGCAGCGTTTTCGTGGCACCATTGGGGGAGCTTCACCGAAAGGCCCCCCAGTGGGCGCAGTTCGCATGCGGTTCCCCAACCAGGGAGCCGTTTCGTAGCACATAGGGAGCTCCCGAAGGCCCGCACGGTTGGCGCTAGTCCGCATTGCGTTCCCCACACAAGAGGCAGGCTTCGTGGCCCCAT